CCCCCCCCCCCCCTTATAAAATGGTAAATTAGGCCACCTGCCAAACACCCTCCCATACTTTCCCCACTGTGCACATTAGGGAGGTATGTCCTTCTCTGGGCTCAAAAAGTCCTTTTTCTCAAACAAATGGCCCAGATATTGAATAATTATTTCTGCCAGATAGTGGAGCCTGATTTACTCCTCTTTCTAATAAGGATTTAGCCAAGATTTTGAAGAATTCAGGTACTGCAGATGAATTTTTTTTCAACTGAGAGAGGCAGTCAAAACTGCACATGCTTCAAAAGTAAAAATATAAGAAATGGCTTCCCAAAGCAGAAAGAGGAAGCCCAATATATGAATAGAGGGTTGTCTTTCTAAAGTCCTGCTTTCTTGTATCCTGGAAACTGTCGTCATGGAGATAATACCAATATCTGCTACATGAGACAGTTCTGAAGTTTTCAGTCCATAGGTATCAAGTTTCACATATTTCAGATATTTTTACACATTGAATTTTTTTGCCTGAGAAGTCGGTCTGGTACCAGTGATAATAAGCAGGTTTTATTGTTGCTATTTGATACCTGTTTCCTCTCTTTAACCAAATGATTCTTGGTGTAATACCAAGAAAAGTACAGCTGTAATTAAAACAGTTTAATATGTAATTCAACACTGCCATGGAGAATACCTTATCAAGTTAAAGGCATGCTGTGTGACATAAGACCTTTTTGTAACAAGAAAAATATTTTCTTAGAATTTCAGCATTTTTTTAATCACCAAAGTATATTTAATCCAAATAAACTAAAACTGCTGAGAAAACTATGTAGTGTATTCTGATTTCATGTTCTATATTGCAGTTTTTACAGTTATAAGTGAATGTCTGTACCTCCATATAGTATGAATTGCCCAAAAATTGTAAACTTTTAACAGACAAAAAGTGTTTATAGATTCCAATTTTATCAACAGACATGGATGTGATATATCTTGGTGATTAATGGAAAACTGTTGGAATCTCCAGGAAAACATTCATTTTTTTTCCACAGGCCTGATCTTCATAGTATGCCTTTAATTTTTAAGGTTCCCTCTTAAGTTACACTCATTCATAAATGAGAGATCAAATGATGTGGGTAACCATTATATGGGGTAACTAGTAACTCTACCTTGAATTTTAGAATCAAAGAACTCTGTCATTTTTTTTTTCGCATGCCTGATAAACTGATGATAAAAACTCAACAAATTTTAGTTTTTTTAAGCAGAGAGGAGCTATTTTTGCCATTTGGAAAGATTTTTGTACACTTCAAAGGAACAGTAAGATATGTATAATTAAGATGCATTATGTATAGAATGGTCATCATTTAATTGCAAAATATAGTAATGCTCTTACCAGAACTTTCACAAAAAATGAAGATTTCAGTCATATTAGTGACACACACATTGTGTGTAATATTTGTTTTGTCACTTTTGAATTACTGTTGATTTCTTTCCACATTGAAGCGTACTATACTAGTAGGAAATGGAGAAAAAAATTGGCATGTCAAAATTATGCAAATATTACACGAAATTTGTGTCACTGATGTGACTCGGATTTTTTTTTTTTTTTTTTTTTTTTTTTTTTTGTGGAATGACCCACCAGTAATATAATTTGAATATCGTTTACAGCTGTCATTAATATTCTTTTTTTAGTGACATACACAATATATGTCATAGGGTGCGTATGTAGCATGCTTTGTTATTAACATTGTATAAATATTGGTCCAAATGATGAAAGCTGTGCAACTGATAAAACTTAGGGTCATGTTTTGCATAAAAAAAACTTACAGCTGAAAATTGGTCTAAACTTATAGATCACACCTTTGTTAACTTTGGCCCAAGATAAGTCGATATAAAAAAATAAAGATATTGCTTCTGTTAAAACCAAACCTAAACTTGTGTGGACTACATTGGACGTACATTAAACAGAAATAAAAACCAAATTTTTGTGTCTAAAAGATCACCCCAATTTTCAGACGAAAGTTTTGTTGTGAAGCCAGACCCCGTTGATAAGAGATCATTGCCAGTAGTAAGTTAACATGTCGACTTTGAAATGATGTGGTGCTGTGCGTTGTTGAGAGGTGTGGTTTGAAATGATGGAAATTTGACTGTATTTCCATGGGTCTTTTATATTAGGTATTTTGTATAATTTTTATGAGAAATTAATGATGGCCAAACAGAATATTTCATGAAACCCCTCGAAGGTTGCACTTGAAATAAAAATTGTACAAGTGATTCAGATGTCATGCACATTCTTACAGAAATTTGATTGCATTTTCACCATCATTAATAATAGAGGGGTTTTCTGTCATTTTTACAAGATTGGAAATGCTGTTCTAAAAGAAAATATCAATACACCCTATAAATAGGTCACTTTAAGTTAAAGAGAAAAATGCTTCATGCTGTGTACATATTCTGAGCCACGAACTTAAAAATGATAGCATGACTGACAAAGAAAGAAATTAATAGAATGATTATTGATTATCTTAATTCTGTCTGTAATTGTGTTTTACTTTATTTTATTTATTATCATAATCATTTTTTCGTGCTTGCACAATCGTCAAATGCAAACAAAATGAAGAGTGGGGTCTGTTGGCTTCGTTTTCCGAACGGACGAAGGTGTTGCAGTGGTTTCACCACTACTCTTATCGGCCAACTAACTGTCGCCGTCTTTAAAACTGCAATCGACCATATAATCCCTATGTCTTGGGTTGAACTCTCGTGCACTTCATCTCTGTTGGTATTCAAATTCCGTGATCCATAACGATTGGGTCATTTTACTTTAATCATTCATGCCTTTTATTCTTTAATTCAACAAATGAAAGGATACTTGAGTAGACCTATCGTATTTTTTATAGCTCAAAGCATTATCTTCGAAACGGCAAACGTTTTTAACACGGTGACAGCTGGCTACTAATGATTAATGGATAAATAGCCGTTTTATGCACAATAAAGAATTAAGTTTCGTCTATATATATACACAACATGACGCCGAAGTTGTAGGGGTTGGCAATGCAGCCGAGCCACATTGGTCAGAACTTGAACAGTAGGGGCAGTATGTGGGGCGGGGGGGGGGGGTACTAGTGACGCTATCTCAGAGCTTCATCCACCTGAGACTGTCGTCAGAAAAATTGGATTGTTGCCTTTAAGGACTCGTCTTTGGGTAACTTCGTTATTTTATCGTAATTTGAAGGCATGGTTATGATTTATTTAAAAAATACCTCATGAACCGCAGCAGAGTTGGGTTTTGAATAGAAAAATAAGATAATACTTTGTGTTTTGTTCACTTTATATCCCAGGTGCGCACTATACAACGTTCGTTGTAGCAAGGAGTTATAACAGACTCCTTGGTTGTAGATTAACTACCTAAGATACCGCAAATAGAGACATTGTAATTGATAAGTGGATCTCGGTGTGATGAACGGCACGCATTTGGGAATCGGTTTGCATGTGACGTCGCGCTATATATGTATATATACACACTAGAAAGTTATTGTCAGAAATGAAAATTCCCCTTGGAATTTTACCAATATTGTAAAAAAAAAAAAAAAAAAAGACTCGTATAAAAAACACCAAGAGGGATTCAGAATGAGAAAGCAGTCCCATATATACCATTGGTCAGAAAGACGGGGGTAAAAGACCAAAACTTAAAATTCACCGATTTAACAAAATGTTAATCCTCTTCAAGTACCGGGGTAAGTACTTTTTTGCATATAAAGTCCCTGAACTAGGAAGATCAAACCAGCGTCTTAGCTACCCTAGTATACGCTGACCTGACTTTGTTCGCCTAAGAATAGTTTGACAGTGTGAAAAGAGCTATGAATAAAGTTTCTAAAGGTCATTTTTTGCTGGACTGTATATCCTGTAGTAGTCTGTTCCGAAGGGTCGTGGGTGGATGGAAGCGGTCTGACCGAACATAGCTGTTTATGATCGACAGTTAGCAAGCTAAGCAGGTAAGGGGGGCTGGGGGGGGGGGGGGGGGTGAGGGTAAGAGGGGGTGACTAAGCCATACTCTTTAAATTTTTTATTCAGTGGCTCGAAATAAACGTCTGCAGTTTATTTCAGAGCGTCTTAACCAAAGAGAAGACCCTATCATGAACACGCAGGATATTGAATACGTATAATCTAGTTAGGTTCATGTCTTGTTGTCTGTTCTTTGAAAAGCGATTTTGTCTGTTCTTTAAAAAGCTATTAAGCTTATATGGTCATAAATCGCGACAAATAAACACACGGCATTTTGAAAACTCAAGTGGAACTAACTTCTAGTACCCCCAGATTTTTGCTCTGTTATTAGCTAAGGGCCTGTCATTCTTTTTTTTTTATGTTGGACCAGTGAAGAGGTCCGTTCTATTAATATCTATTTTCTGTTATCACCATTTTCTTAAAGGGATAATAACTCTTCGTTTTGGACAAAAAATGAATTTTCCTGGAGTAAACAACAATTTTCCCATACTTACCAATGGTTAATGAATCCATTTTTACATTCAAATTTAGTCCCTGTTTTTTTCTAAAAAGTTAGGTTTTTTGTTAAAATCTCTTAAGAGATTATAGCCATCAATGGATGTCACATGGTCTAAAGACCAGCTCAGTTATCAGAATAATAGCTATAACTGCCGTTTTTGTGGTAAAACAGAATATATTTCTTTGAGTTATTCACAATGTTTTTATTGTGAAGTATAGATCTCATACGAAGAGTTATTATCCCTTTAAGAAATTACCTGTTTTTTGTCAGGAAAAAAATCCAACAATGTGAAGGTGAAG